TATCTTTGATTTAGAACTAAACAATTGGTTATTAATATTAATGGTTTAATAATAAAATAATAAATTATATTATTTAAATTAATATTAAATGATTGTTAGCCTAACCAACATCAATCAATCTTTACTATTTCCATTTAGTAACTAATAAAAACCAATCAGTCAATTTGATTGACTGACCAACCAACCAACCAGTCAACCAACCAACCAACCAACCAACCAACCAACCAATCAATCAATCAATCATACAATCAATCATACAATCAATCATACAATCAATCATACAATCAATCATACAATCAATCATACAATCAATCAATCAATCAGCCAATTCAATCCAATGTCAATCAACTAACTTTATAAAATATAAAATAGATTATAAATTAATATTAAATTAAATTAAATTAAAAATAATATAAAATTCCAACAAGAACACTAAATTTTATTGAAACAAATGCATGATTGTCATAAATAAATAATTTAAATAATAAATAATTTATAATAAATAATTTATAATAAATAATTTTTTTAAATTGAATATTTAAAATAAACTTTTGTAACTTATTTAAGCAAAAAAAAACTATAACTTAGATTAACTTTTATCGTGTAGATTAACTTTTAAACAGATGGATGGTACTAATAGAAAAAAATTTGTGATTTTAGCATTACGTTTTTTTTCACCTATAGAATAAGTAGGTTTTCCCAGTAAATTTGTACTAATAATGACTGGCATGTAAGCCTAATTCTATAAATTAACAGTTACATCATTTCAAAATAACACAGAAAGGCCATGAGCATCAATTCATTTATGTCAGTAAAATATACTGCTTTAATATTTTGAATTGTTCTCAAATATTTAGAATGAAATGTAAAAGTCTGTTTTCACCATTCTAGAATCACTCACAGTTTGCAATTCGAGACAGCGTAATCGTTTGCAATAATTTCATTCAAATTATTTTAAAGGATAAAAACTTGTATCAATTGGTGTCAGATTGTGACTGACAAGCTCATGGAATTATATAACTTATATATAAAATTATATATAATTCAATGGACTAGCTAGCCAAAATTATGAAAATTTGTGAACCTTGGTTTTTTTTTGCAAAACTTTTCGTCTGCCAGAATTACATAATTCAACCTTACAAACCATTTAATTAATAGTGACTAGATCGGACGAGAGTTTTCAAGGAGCTCAAATATAGACGCACAAACGAGAAATATAGATAAGATATGGCTATCAGTGATAATTAAACTTTTCTCATGTTTCATTCGTCAAAGAATAACATACGATTTTTTCAAGAGATTCTCTCTACTTTATAAATGATTCGTAGGCTTTCTAACATAATTTTTGCTTGGAAATTTCGATTTTTATTATTTTCTACAATAGTTCAATGTTCTGGTTTGCAGATTTACACATTAAAAAAACAAGGCGTTTATTTAAAATTAGATTTTTAACGGAATTCAGCGTTAATAATTTTTTTTGTATAAAGTATTAATAAAAATTAAAATGGACTTTAAACCCAATTACCTTAACAATCCAGACAACATCGAGAAAGACATACTCACGTCAAAAACTATGTTCTGTAAAGATCAATTCGGTAATCTATACGAGTTAAAAGCAGTAGATCAAAATTTAAACACGTTTCAAGCAGAATGGAACGATCTAAACCTCGCTAGTCACGATCATCCCCACCAAACGACGTCAGCCAGTGTTCAGGATGACGGAGGTGAAGATGACCTTTCCAGCCACACGAGTCTCGATTCTGGGAATTGGGTCCACTCACTACAAAAAGTCAGTAAACCATTTTACAGAATAGTCAATAATGTCGAATATTCAATTTTAGTAAATATCTTTTTCCAGAAATAACCCTTCTGAAAAACATAAATTTTTTATTAATTAATCAAATAATGGGGAAACGTTTCCCTTACAGGAAAGTGTTGCAAGTTTGGCATGGCGACCTGTATTTTTTCAAATCTTATTTTGTATCTTCCTGTTTCAGCCGTTTATTTTTAAACTAACGGGTGTCTGAACTCTGGAAGACATAAAAGATTAAATATATCAAACACCAAATAATTCACTCGATAATCTAAATTTGTTTTTCAATTTAACCAATCTTAATTTTTCCCCAAGAATTAGTAAATTTACAGCAATCAAATTTTTTCTACAGAGCTGCAGTAATTTTTTCCACAAATACAAAAGAGAAACAATCTGGTTGGTGGGGATCCTCTGCATAATACTGTACTTCATCTATTTCACGTTCGCCATCATCTACGATTTCCAACTCGCCATAGCCTTGATCGCATGCACCGGTGTCGTGCTCTTTTGTATCGGTTATTCGTTCGTGGACAGTTTATTCGGAGATAAACTCGACAAGATGTTCTGCAGTCCGATAGATCGAGCTATTTCCAACAATTGGCACATCATAAAATGGTGAGGCGCTCTATTTTAATGATTCACTGACCAAATTCTCATTAATCTAAAACTATATCGTGTAGTTAGATTAATAGCGTAGAATGTATAAAAAATGTATGACAGCTGTTTGCATATTATGTACATTTTTTGGGCAAGTATAATTTATGTAACAGCACGTCATACCAAGTCAGATAGATGTCCTATGGTGTCCTATAGACAGATGATAGATCTAGTCACATGGGACCGTCTGAAAACCAAAAAAATTTATAACGAAACAAATTGAAGCGTGATGATCCGATTTACTCTCAACAGGTTCCTTTATCCGGCCATCGCCATATTCGGAGTTCTCTACCTGGGGTTAGTTGTAATCCGTGAGATGAAGCAAGTTCAGCCTATTTCCGGAATATTCATATTCATGTTGATCGTCTACTTGACCTCCAAGCACCCGAATCAGGTTATTTAACTTTTTTTTAGTTAATTCTTCCAAAAAATGCTCAACCTTCATAGAAATAAAAGCTACGCACTGCACATTTACATATCCATAAATGTTACTTTTATTATTTTTAAAGATTGCCAATAGTTGCTAATTTTACACTAAGGATTGAACACAACATTCAAGAGAAATCCATCCACCTCAGATAATCTGGAGGCCAGTGTTGTGGGGGTTCTCTCTACAGTTCATCTTCGCGGTGTTCGTCCTACGCTGGCAGTTTGGCTACATTGCCGTCAAATTTCTGGCTGATCAGATCAATATTTTCATCGAGTATGGCTACGACGGGGCGGCCGTAGTGTTTGGGGATCCAGCCCTATTACTGCACCCTTTCGCCATGATGGTAAGGTTTGATCTGATTGGCTGATTGATTTGGTGTGAATAATTTGATTGGCTGGCTGAAAGGCTAAAGGTTAAAACACTATGCACTTTTTCTCAAATTAATGTATGGGTAAATGAATGAATGAATAAATGATTGAATGATGGTGTTGGTGTTTGGAGATTGAGGCTATTTATTAATTTATTCTTTTATTCATTCATTCGTAAATTCATTCATTCAATCAATTTTTAACTGATTCATTCACTTTTGCTAAAATGGTGAATTTGACAAGGACGCGTGCGGAACAATTTGATTGGCCAATTGATTTGATGCAATTAATATGATTGGCTTAATAGATCTGGCAAATACGATTGGTTGGTTAATTTCAATGAATGAATGAATTTATGGATGAATAAATGAATGAATGAACGATTGAATGAATGAAAAAATTGAGGAATGAATGACGAACGACGAATAATATTAACTAAATTTTCATATGACAATAATACATTAAATAATAATACTAATAAATGACAAATATGGTAATAAATAAAAATAAATTATGATCGAATAATATAAATAATAATAAAATTCTAACCAGCCCACTTCAAAACGATAGCTAAGTTGTCAATGACTTGCTTCATATCTATGTTACGATATTGTAACATAGATATGAAAGGGGTCTCAACCTTATCTTTTATTTTTGTTCTGATTATCATCAACATTATTTGTATAATGCCATTAGTGCCATTATTATTACTATTTTTGTTATTATTATTATTATTATTATCATTGGTTGTCTTAATTTTTTTGGCAATTAATAAATGTTCCTAACCGTCTTTAGGCATTCTTTCGCCAGTGACAGACTCCCTTTGAAATCGAACCCGGTAAAATTTCAAACCTAGACTAGGCGGCTCTAACCACTACACTACCAGACAGCCCACCATCAACACTGCATTGGCACCATCATTTGGACATTTTTTATAAAATAATAATAATAAATAAATAATAATAAAAAAAACAAAAAACTATTCAGGGCATGTCCATGCTGTTGTATCTGGGAGCTGTTATGGCAATTTTGTATTATTTGGGAATAACCCAGAAGGCTGCCGTAAAGTTGGGCTGGGTGCTTCAGAAGACTATGAACACAACTGCAATCGAGACTTTAAACACTGCTGCTAATATATTTCTTGATGGGGTTGGTTTTTTTTTATATATAATATAAATAATTTTATATAAAATACAATTTTGGTTAAATATTTTCAACGAACATCAAAATTCGCAATACTTTGTGAGTTAATCACTCAAATTTGTTGATGATTTTTTAACCCGAAGTACTTAAACACGTTAAAAATGGCGGGAAATTATTTCAAAAACGCCTGACACGAACCAAAAATAACCGGACAGATGGATACGATGCTGATGCTTAGACACTACATAGACAAGCTGACCCTATCAGAGTTCAACTGCTTTCTCGTCGGCAACCATGCGACCGTCGCTGGCTTCGTCTTTGCTCTCTTCGTCTTGTTTGGGGTTGGTTTCTCTTCTTTGTAATTCTTTCTGTTATTTCTTAGTCAGCGAGTTAATTCATACGAAAAAAGTGCCTTTGTTTTTAAGCTATCAAAGTTTTAACTATACAAAATTATAATAAGTAATTTAAAGAATCACAACAAAATAGTTATAGAGCGGAATAAATTATCATAATTTATGCAGGCCCCACCCCAACATTTGCTGTCGGCGGCGGTCATGTCTGCCCCGGCTACCATCGCCATCTGCAAACT